GACTTATGGGCTGTCCAATTTAGAGATAGAGTGATGCTTTATACAGAATGGGAGCTGTGGAAGTGGTCCCAGTGGTCTCCGGATGAAAGAGCCAATCAAACAGCTGGACCCTAATAGCCTTCTAAGAGAAAACTCACAGAGCCTCATCAGCAAGGCCTTTTACATTATCCTTGGGATGAACGTTACCCTGGGGCCTAACTGGCAACATTGTCTTCACCTTCCTCCATTCCAAGGCTTTCTATGATACAATTCCCCAACTCCCTGAATGTACTCTGCATGTGGAGGGGAGGGCTGTACAAGTCTTTTCATGGTTCATATAGCAAAACACAAGAACGGTCACATTAACTGGTTATAACAAAAGCACTGGTGATTTGGTGAGCTCTCCGACATTGATCTTCAAAGCCATGTGAAAAAAAATATGCAATCTTTATTTTTAATTTCAAGCATATCAGTTCAAATCTTCCAAGCAGAAAATTCCATCAAGTGAGATCCATTGGCAGTTAAAGTTCAAAGTCAGAGAGCAAATGGAAATCGTTGTAGCATTTCTCATTTCCCCATGGGCATGACCACTCCAAATGTGCCACATGATTTACTGTCCCCAGATAGTAATTGACGATGCTCACTGTGAGGAAACTGGTAGAACACTTAGGGAAGATGAGTATGGAAGGGCCTTTTTACATTATTTTTGGCTCCATTCTGGTGTTTATCTTTTAATTTTCTTTCTTCCTTTGAAATTAATTATCATATTTTGATTCTATCCCATCTAAATTCAAGCTTTTTGGAAGGAGATTAATAGCATCATCAAAGAAATTTTAAGATTTAGTGTCAGAAATATCAAGTAGTATAAGAGAGGGAACAGTTAGATCTGTAATTTAAGATAAGCTTACATGGTAAAAATAAGAATCATCAACACATAAGAGAAATGACATTTGAGCTGTATTCTAAATGTAAATTGGACTTTCCTGGGATTCAATATATTAGTATTTAATATTCTCCTTAATAATCAGGAAAAAGAGATAATTTTATGTGTAAATATTTAAAATATTAAAATTTTCCTTGGCATTAATATTTCTAAACCTGTTCATTTAGTTTATTGAAATTCTTAATAGAGTGTGTGTGTGTGTGTGTGTGTGTGTGTGTGTGTTGCTTGAGATAGCTTTAAACTTTGGAACTCATTTTGTAGCCTAGGCTTGCTGTGTAGCAATTCTCCTGCCTCAACTTCCTGAGTACTGGAACTTGCACATGCACTCTTATCACCTGGGATATCCATAGGTGCCTTTAATGCTTAAAATAATTCATGCAAATCAAATTTTGATTTAATTTGATAATGACTTCCAAACATTAAAATGTGTATTAGGAAAGTGGAGCCTGACAGAAACAGCCATCTGTTCAACAATGTGGATTCCTTTGTCACGGGCTCCATCATCCCTTTTTGTTGTTGTTGTTCTTAGCTGCTACTATTTCTCCTTCCCACTCCTCCCTCTCTTTGCTTCTCTTCATCCTCTCCCAGTTCCCTCTCTTTTCCTTGCTTCCTTTTCCTTTGTGTGCCATTGTTGGTATCCACCATAGTGGTAGGCATGGGATGTATTCATTATGTATACAGTTATATAAATAAATCTACCAGGTTACTTCCACAGTTCTTTGAGCCAAACAATGTACAGTATCAGCAAATTATCATTCTGACTGCTACCATGTACTTCAGTGTTTTATTAAGGGAAAAACAGGGCCAGAGTGGGGTGGTGAGCCAGAATAATGCTCAAGTGAAGATTTTTTTCCAAATAGGTGAGACCATACAGCAACAACCAAAAGGCATTTGCTTGGTTATTTATAAGGAGTATTTCTCTCTTCTATTTTGTAAGGTTTTCAGCTTGCCAAGAATAGCATAGATAGTATAATAAAATATGTAAAAATGCAACACTCCATTCCAATTAATAATTATATGCTCCTAATCTTTGGAAAAAAAAGAAGAAAAAGATAAAAAAGCATAACTTTTAAGAACTACCCAAAGCGATTCTTACTATATTTGTCTTATACATTTATTCTGCTTGCTTACATTCAGTTTATCATGAATTTAACTGATTCCTTTTAGTTCCATTTACTTTGAAATTTTTAATTATTTTTTTTCTCCTAAATCATTGTCTTTTCTCTTCCCCAGTCTTTCATGAAAGGCATGAATTCTTTGTCTTAAAACAAAATACTGTCCATGGTTTCATACACTACATGTTATGATATCAAATGTTTGTATGTGTACTACTTCGTGTTACATAATAAATCACTGCTTATATTTAAGTGGTGAGTCATCGTGATGGTCTTCAGAGATTGTGAGAGAATCATTTGTGTGCTCTTACAATGTATAACTCATATTAAAGACAACAAGAATATACAATTCTCGGAAAATGAAATGCCTTCTGCCATTTCTCTTGTCTTTTTTATTCCTTTTATTGAAAAGACCTCTGTTTTTTTCATCTCACATAATATATCCTGATTATGGTTTCCTTCCCTCTGCTCCTGCCAGCTCTTCCCTACCTCCCCTCCCATCTGGACCACACCCTTCTGTCTCTCCAGAAAACCCGTCTTCTAAGGGATAACAACAAGATAAAATATAACAAGATAAAAAAAAAACCTAACACATCAGAATAGAATGAAACAAACAGAAGGAAAAGAGCCCAAGAAAAGGCACAAGAAACAGATCCATTTACACACTGAGGAATTCTATAAAAACCCTAACCTGGAAGTCATAATATATATGCAAAGGACCTGTAGGATTAAAAGAGAGAAATAACTTTTATCTTAAGATAATTTTTTTTAAAAAGAGAAAGCTATGACATGACATTATGAGATAGGAACCTCCAAATATGCTGTTAAGTTTCTAAATTTTCACTTTCAATTGGTCATTGATTAGAGGTAGTTCCTTGGTTAGGTATGAAGGCATGTGTCCACTTCTCCATTTAGCTCTAGGATCCCACCTGGTTCAGACCTGTGCAGGACCTGTCTCAGTGTCTGTGATATCACAGGTATGTTGGTCGATCCTACTGATTCATAGGAGCTTATTTTTTTAAGTGTCCACAAACCCTTCTGGCTTTTACTCTCTTTCTGCCTCCTCTTCCACAAGATTCCCTGATCTCTAAGAGAAGGGATTTTTATGGAGACATCCTATTTAGGACTGAATATTCCAAAGTCTCCCATTCTCTGCGTAATGTCTAGCTGTGAGTCTCTGTATTTGTTTTCACCTGGTGCTGGAGGAAGCTTCTCTGATGATGGCTGAGAAACTGTTTTTGTTTTTTTTAAGCAGGGCTAAATCCCCATAGTTAGTCATGTTCCCTTTCCTTGGTCAACAATGCCATCAGCTATTATAGTCTCTGTTGGCTAAACTACTAACGTGTTACTCACTTGGGTGTGGGTTTTAATAGTAGTAAAATTCTTTTTTCAACTTCAAATACTGCACTGTCCCATTTTCAAAGATTTGTATTGAAAAAAATTAAGGATGGCATAGCCTTTGAAATTTTGTCATTATTGTGTGTTTATTGCTTAAATGGGAAGGATTGGCTCTTTCCATGAAGCTGGGTCTGTAAGATCAGTAAAAGTATGCAAGGGTGTGCATTATACATTCTAAGTATAAAATTCTTCCAATAATAAAGAATAATGGTCACATAAATATACAGAATGAAAATATGAAAAAATATTTAATATAATAATATAATATCTACAGACTGTTGTCAATGATTTCAAATTTGTTGATTAGCAAGTGACAAAATTATTTTACTGTCAAACCCTAATTTCCATCATGATATTAGGTCATTTTCTGTTTGTTCAGTGTTTTCTCTAATGTGCTGTGAAATATGATGACTCCAAAAAGGAATTGGAAGGTAGTAACACCAAACACATTAAAATTAAAGGTATTTTGAAGACCAAAACTTCAGGTAGTATATATATATATATATATATATATATATATATATATATATATATATATAAAATATTGTCACAATCTCAGATGCACAAAAAACAATTTTCATTTTGAGATAGTGTCTCACTGTGTCTCCCTGGTTGGCCTGGAACTTGCTATGTGGACCAGGCTGGCCTCAAGCTCACATGTCCTCCTGCTTCTGCCTCTTGAGTGCTGCAATTATAGGGTGTGCAGCCACAGTTGACCAAATGAATCTTTTTTTTTTTTAAAAAGCACATTTCTAACAAGTAATAAGAATACCACATATTTATATGATTTCTGAATAATATAACAATGTGAGACTATCAAGTGTACTTTCTGAAGTTAGGGCGGAATGTGACTAGAAACTCAAGTAATATGAGATGTCAAATAACTCTTACTGTACTGAGATCAGGTACCAGTGTCCTTGTTTGCTCACTCACATGAATGTCAACACTTACCAGGGATGCTTCATTTTAGATTGTGAGCACTAAGCGGTCATAGTACCAAGCTATGAGAAAGATCAAACTTAGCCCTGGTAGCATGATTTCAGAATAACAGAAAACAGTTCCCTAGGGAATAAGATGCTATCTCATTTAACCTTTGCTTTACAGTCCCTCATAGGTGAGCACAGGTTTTCTCATGTCTGTGACATATCTTAAGATAGTGAAGGCAGGGAGTTGATTTCATTCTAAGAACCATGAAATAGAATTCCATACTCTCAATGAGGTGACAAGATGTTTCTTCCCCTTACATTTAAATTTTAAATTTTAAGACAGATAGTTTACTATAGTGATAAATCAGAAATAGTATGCAGTTTAGACAGTGCATTATTTATGTTTAATTTGGACAAGATTTTACTTCATAGAGTAACAGTGTATCAATTGCAGCATTATTTTAATACTCCCACTGATAAAATACAATGTGTCAATCATTTCTAATATTTTAAACTTCATAGAAAAATTGCTTAGAAGTTACCTATATTTGATTATTCTGAAGTTTTGAATATCTGGATGTTTGGGAAGAGTTTTAACGAACCTGAGCTTATCAATAAATTATCATTGAATTTATTCCATCATTTTGTAGATAGTTTTATTTTCTGAATGCTAAAAATCTTGTATTGACACCCGTGAGGGATGGTTAAGGGCAGGCCCAGGCACATAATGTATCATCCATTACGCTAGCCAAGCTCATTTCTATTAACATAAGTGATCTTTTCTGAAAGTACTTAGGCTAGTTAAGCAAAATTCAGGTCTCTGGGACTGCAAATATAAGACATTCAAACATAACTGAAGTGAAGGATAGCCATGCACCATTTACCCTCAGTACATCTGAGAAATGCATTCTTCTGTGATGAGATCGCTGTATGAACATCATGAAGCGTGCTTACATAGCCCAAGGCAGCAACTACATGGGCATCCCTGTGTCACTGAATGGATTAGGCTTCAGAATGATACCTCGGTGTTAAGACAACATTTTGCATTCTTACATGGACATTTTCATGACACAATCTGTAGTGTGTGTATGTGTGTGTGTATGATTGCATGGAAGTAGCATGACAGTAAGGTTTCAGCGCAGGAAATAATAAGATCATGCTGAAAACATCATGTTCTGTATTTTCAACAATAAACTTCTAATTCTGCAGACACTGTTGAATAACAAGTATCTTCATAATATCTTCATACTGATCTTACAGTATGTCTACTCTGTAGGTGAGGAAATGGTTTTAATAACATAAGCAAGAATAAATTGATGAGTGGAAGATAGAGATTTTACTACAGGTCACTTTATTAAAATATTCCACAATAACTCTCTTTAATATTTTTACATTTATTTATTTATTTATTTGTGTGGGGGTTGTATGTGTGTGGTGTATGCTATGGTGTATTTATGGAGGTCAGAGGACAACTTCAGAAGTGACCTCTCTTAGACCACCATGTGGAATCCAGGGACTGAGCTCAAGTCTCAGGCTTTAGATTTGGTAGCAAGTGCCTGTACCCTAGAGACATATTTCTGGCACCAGGCTGTCTAGTAATTTGATTTCATTGTAAAAATTCAAATTCTTATAAGAAATAGATTGGTGAACATCACACAAACTGCTGCTGAATTTATCTAATGTTTGAGTAAAAATTTAAAGATAATTTGACAGCGTAAAAACTCTGCAACTCCAGGACAAAAGAAAAGTAAATAGAATAAAATAATTATATTTAAGAAAGAAGATCTTAATTAAATTAAGCTCCAAAATAAGCAACTACTTGGGGGGAAAAAACCCAGAAAATTTCAGTGTAGCCAATGTTCATCAAATAAACAATTCTTCATCTCCACAAATCCACCAGTGTACAGGAAGGACAAGGAGGAACAACATGCTAGACTGGCTATAATCAGAGACATGAGAAAGGAATGTCAAACTGCAGAGAATGAAATTCAATCTGGAGCCCTAGGGAGAAACACATCATGCTGAGAAAAACTAGCTAAAACCCTAAAGAGGAGTGGGATTCAGCCAGTAGCCAACACAGACACACTCACATGTGCACACTTGTACAGAGAGGTATGCCACTATATAACAAAACAACATAACCCAACAATAAAAATTACAGCTGCTGAAAGTCTCTGACTATATGGCTTCCATTGTTTACTTTTCGATTTGGAAATTATTATTTCTGACCTGTTTGCATATGCTGAAATTTACCTTTATCAATGTAAGAATCAGGCAAGGCAAACAATGGAAAAGTTGAGAAGAATTTTTCCTAAACATTTAGATAACTTGTTTAAGATGTAACCATTGGCATCCAGGCAGCCGTGGCACACGCCTTTATTCCCAGCACTCAGGAGGAAAAGCCAGGCTGATCTCTGTGAGTTTGAGGCCAGCCTGGTCTACAGAGCAAGATCCAGGACAGGCATCAAAACTACACGGAAAAACTCTGTCTCAAAAAACCAAAAAAAAAGTAATAATAGTAATAATAATAATAAAAATAAAATAAAGATGTAACCATTGGCATGCAAATTGCATATTAAAGATCCTCAATGAGCTAATTAATTAACAAGTTCTTATTTGTTTAGTGAACATCAGGTGACTTATGTAATGGAAGCCCCAGGTAAACTGAAGGGAGGGGAATTTACATGTGAATATTTCCCTTAAACCAGACAGAGCTTAATCAGTGGATATTTAGGATATATTGTTGTTAAGATCTGGTATTTTGCTTCCTAAAATGCTAATCATTTTATTCTAGTCTTATGTCTTAACAATGGAAAATCATGCCTACCTGCCTCTAATTCAAATTTAATTGTCTTCAAATTCTTGTCTCTAAATAGCTTGTTTGAAAAGATACCACTGCCTAAGTGATCTACATTTAAATCCATTACGTGAAATTAATATCAGCATGTTAAAAGTTTAACCAGAAGTTACCTGATAATTGCATGGCGAGCATAAGTCTTCTGCCTCCTTTTGAAATTCTCTAAAAATCTGCCATCTTTGAGAATTTACATCTCTCAGCTTGAGAGTTCCCCCTGCGGATGGGGAAGCCAGAGGAGGAACCGGAAGGAGTAAACGACAGGTTGCTCTCGGTTTGCTTCTCTTGGCTGGCATTTGTCTCTTTGGCATGGTGAAGGGCTACTCCACGTTGACTGTGAAAACAAACACAATTAGTACACATGAAGCATATGGTAGTACTGCTGCAGCGGATGGCGGATGAGCTGCAGGCGACAGCAACACCTGTTCCTAAGGAGGATGTGTGACACACAGCCCCAGCGGAGTAAGGAACTTTCAGCCACAAAGTGCACATCCCGCCGATTATAATGGTTTGTGTGGCTCTGGAAGCGTTCTCACTTTTATTAATCTCTTCTCTGATTGCCTCTATGTTCTCTTATTCATTCAGAACTTCACAACTGGCATTGAGCTGTGCTTAACCAGATGTGGCGGCTGTGCAGAGTTGCCACAGGAGAGATATTAATGACTCTGAGTTCTAGGGGACTGGCTGTGTGCTTCCATGTCATAATGATCTTTTCTAAAATGCTGTTGTTATCTCATTGATCCAGATGTTTATTGAACTTATTGGGCACCTCCAGTAGCTGATTCTTCACTTGGAGATTTCTAAGCATCTCTTGAAAACCTTAAGATTTTTTTTTTTATTGTAGATATAAGGGAGAAAGCAGGCAGAGGGAAGAGTCCAGGATGAACATAGGCCAGCTGACTAAACCAGACCACAGAGGAGAGAGGGAGAGAGAGAATAATAGAGGAGCCACTGGCCAAAGGAGGCTGCCTAGGCCAAGAGGCCAAGAGACAAAATGGCTGGGTTACATAGGAATCAGCCTAGAGGGAAGGAGGGGGCAGTGCAGCCCCTAGGAGGGAGAGGTTTAGGGTAGGGGATGGGTGAGACATGGTGGGAGGAGCCATGGGTACTGACTGATGCTGGGAGAGCTGGCCAGCATTGGCTTTGCTGTGTTAAATGGGCACCTCCCTTGGTTAGCCATTTGTCCCAGGTTTCTGAGACCTAACCCTTACAAGTGAGTGTTCCTGAGCATGTGTGGCAGTGAGCTCAGTATATAATACACAAAATGCTCAAAGTGAGGCCAACTGTCATATAAAATGACAAACAGTACACAATAATGCTAGATGTCCTCTTGTATCTTTTACCCAAGGAGTACATGCCAACAAGTAAGAAGTTTCAGCAACATTTTTCTGATCTTTGTTTTATTACAAACAGTCCAATGTGCCGGTATAATGTGCATTACTCCTACCTCTGTTATTTACTGCATTTTATTCCTGGTTTGCTTCTTTTTGCTTCAATGCATAATTGATAAAGCTCTTCTCTATCACAAATACAATTTGTACCTGAAGGGGCCTTCATAGAGAGCATGTCTTCCCATTTTAAAACTTTCAGTGAATCTTTTAGCATCTACGCATCAGTTCTGTCGCCATTTCTTTTTTCAATCTTCCCGTTTTGTGAAGAACATCACAAGTCCAGGTCTTGCCCCAATTTTGTAATCATACATCATTGGAGAGTTCTCAAGTCTTCAAGTTCTCTGCTCTTATGTCCTCATAAGTGTCCTTTAATAAAATTAATAAAGGGGATGCCAAAAATTTAGAACTTCAATTTTTTTTCTCCTGAAAATCTGTAACCACCAGCCTTCTAAAAATGTTTCCTTATGGTTGTTTATTATTCATCTCAATGGTCAGACGATAGACTCTAAATGTAAGGAAAATATTTGTTGTGTCTTCCAAAGGGGAATTTAGAGAGCATGTGATGAGTAGGCTGTAGGATAGACACAGCAGATTTTAAGTGCTGTGTTGCTAAGTAACAGCTGTTGACTATGGAAGGTTTCTGAAGTTCTCCATACCAGTTGTCTCATGTATAAAGTGACAAATAACTTTAAAAACTTTTGGATTTTAAAACTGTCATGAGAAAAAACTGAATTAGAATATGTAAAATACTTATAGAGTTTAACATACAGTATATGCCTTATGTATTCAAGTTAATGATGTTAATTAGGTATTTCTAATTATCATCATTTCTATAATCTCAGAATCTCACCTTGTACTTGACTCAGCCCAGCTTTCAACCAATATTGTGTTAGTGAGTGAATAAAATGAGTTAACGGTTGCTGTAATTGGCACAACTGATTCAGCTACATTTTAATAATATTCCCATCTTGATTACCTCACTATTAGGACTTTACTTCTTTGGAAATTATCTTTATCTATCCAAGAGAATTTCATTCAAATTCTCCCATATAAGTTAGTAGGGCTCTGCCAGCTCGGTAGAGTACAGGAAACATGAATGGGGTAGAAATGAAATTATTAGTGCAATGGCCTCATGCCCCATCTTCTCTTTTGTTGACGTTAAAAATATTGCTTCACACAGCATCCAAAATAACTCTTTAGCCCCATAAACGGGGGAATGTCCCTCTGCTCTTTAAAAGTTTATAGTAGTTTCATTTTACACTAAAAAGAAAATTCACACTCCTTAAAGTCTAGCCAAAATGACCCTGGCTCTGTCTCTGAATCCGTATGAACCATATGTCTTACCTGGCAGATCACAAAGTCATGGAAACCTTGATCTTTAGAGAGATTCAGATCATCCTGTGCTTGAAATGTGCTGCCTCTCTCTACAAGAGCTTTTTTTTTGTGGATTCTGACTGGACTCACATCTTGCATGGTTGAATTGTGCTTTCCTCAGATATCTTCCTTAATCTATTCTTCCTCCCACCCAATCATATGTTTCTGCTCTATCTTTCTTCTTCAGAGATTATCAATTTACCTGTTGACTTGCTTATGACTTTCTGTCTTTCCCATTACAGTGGAAGTTTCATGATCACAGGGACTTTGTCTGACTCATCATTTTGGCCGAACTCTTATTATTAACTATTTGTTAAAACACACCAAGATGCTGGGTGCAGGAGCCATTTCACAAAGAGTCTTGTAATGCCTTGTTGTAGAAACTGGATTGTACCAAAAGGCAGCAGAAGCAGTCAAGAGATTTAGATGATTGCCTTGTACATTTGAAGAGGCTTTTCTCGAGCAAGAAAAGTTTGAGCCTGTCCTAGAAGAACCAGTGGAATTAGATGAAGGGAAAGGTGCATCCTACTGAGACAGCCTGAAGTGAGTGCTGTCCAGATATTCCACAGATTATGAGATGATTTAAAAGGCTAGAGCAGATGAACCACTAACTGCTGACATTTTCCTTCACACTAGTGGTAGTGGGAATACTATCATGGTTGGAATGAACCATGAGATGTTATTTCTTGGCAGCAAGATATGAATTATCTCTTGGGTGCTCTTGAAGTTCTACTACTGAAGATAATGTAACAAAATCCTTCTGATCATGTAGATTCCCTCTGAAAAATACTTTGTTTTCATTTGGTCCTCTGATGAGAGCAACAAAGACTTCTCGAAGCCACCCATCCCAACTTTCAGTGTACATGAACCTAGATCCAATGATGTAGTGATATTCCTGGGGTTAGAGATCAAGTTTACTCTCAAGACTTCCTAACATACGTTCAAAGAATAGTATTCTTAAACTGTGACTTCCTCTCCACTTAAATTTGTCAGTTTTCAAGCTATATTTTAAATTGTTCCCCTTAGCTATTGAATTCTTAAAGTAAATTTGTTCTCTGGATGAATTTGGATTCACCACATACAAGATATCTTCTCCTAATAAGTCTAATGAACATGTTATTTATAAGAGAGGCTAAAGGGTACTAGAATTAATTTGGGAATATCCTCCAAACCATTTGGCCTTCTTAAAAGTCTCTGTGAGGATAATACACAGTTCTTCTGATAACAAATATTGGCCTCAGAAGGTTGTCAGGGACCACCCACACTGTATAAACAAATACTGTAAAAGGAGCATCAGTGTTTATTTTTATACTTTCAAGCATTTTTTATCAAAATATCTCTGGAATATAAAATAATAAAACACTACCCCATATGGGACATTCTTCCTTTTCATTTTGAGGGAGAAAATAAGGCCACATAAAATTGTGATTCAAGTGCAAAGTGATCTGGTGATGTCTTTATTATGTGTCATGGAATTCTGTCTCTCCTGTCCTCCAGGGAGCTGTGCCCAGGATAAATGTGCGTTTCCTACAGTGTTTGTGCTGTTGCTCAGCTAAAATTCCTCCTCAAAAAGACAGAGTGGAAGAGAGGTGCCAAAAGATAGCCTAAACTGAAAACAAGCCAGATAATAAATTATCTAAAAACTCACTTTTACTAATATCTGAATTAAATATATTTTTAAGACTAATTTTTTTTCCTAGTTTATTTTACTATTGTGTCAATTTATAATTTGGTTGTTTACTTTGATCTATAGATGTATACACTAAAGTTTTCTATTTCTCTTCTGCAACATTAATACAGCAGCTGTAGGCAAAATCAACATTGCATGGCTTGTGTTCTTTTGAAAACAATTTAAATCCTTTTTTTGGTTGTGAATGTTGTGAGACTATGACTGTCTGTAAAATAGGAGGAACTGAAGGTTGAAAACAGGACAGAGCAGTGTAGACACTATTTGCTGGGCTCTAAGGAACATTCTGCAGTCCTTATCTTGTTATGATATCCAAACAATTCATCTTGATAGCTCACACACACACACACACACACACACACACACACACACACACACACACACTCACTCACTTTCATACAGATGATTTGATTGGATGAAGGAAGATGATTTTGTCAGTATAATTTTCACCACTGAACCACCTGTATTTTTCCATATTTAGACATAATTTGTGCTGCTAAATCAGGTTGCCCTCTAGCCAGAGTGGTTGAACTTTGAATTTCAAACAGATACTTTGTTTGCAACTGTCATAGGACATTAGTTCTCAGCATAAAATGACTGGCTGTTTTAAGTACAAAAAAAAAAAAAAAACACCCCCAAAAAACCACAGAAAATGGTGAGCAGAATTCTCTTCTTTATTTGCTGCCCACTGGCAAAACCTCAGGATGTTGTCATTTGAATTTCTATGACGTGCTGTCATAGCTGTCACCAGAGACGTTTTCTGACCACCTCTTAGATGCTCTAGCCACCAGCCCACAGATGGAAGCATGCCGACACCACATCTCAGCAGCCAGCGTTTGCAGGACTCAATGCTTTCTTTTCCTTTTCTTAGTGGTTTCCTTCCTCACCACCTCTGGGAAAGCCACAGCATCCACAGGAAGAAGGCAGTCCAGCATCAACAGGCTGGTCCCCCATGACCTCACACCACGCCTGCCTCGAATCTGCCCTTCAATCCCAGGGTCAAGAACAGTAAATAAAAGAGAAAACATCCCCAGAGGACCAAATTTAGTCACTGCTTTCAGCTTTCTACATGGAGTAAGTTTTGGAGGAAACGTTATACTGACTTACCTTATGTCTCCTCTTTTCTAGTCTCTCTAGATTTACATAAATAATCTCAGGGGATAATGTGCTATATACATCTGTATATTTGAGTATATGTGACATGTATACAAATACACAGAGAAATACTTCAGTGTGTGTATATATACACATGCCCACAATACATATAAATGCACACTTATGTACAAACAGATATAATACACACTCAAAATATATACGTACACCTTCATCTTTGACTTTAAGTGAATGGCTATATTTAGCTTCTTTCCTTGAAAACCAACCCTTTGTACCTTATTGGGTCCAATATGACAGAATTGTAAAACAGACATTTAGTCTAGTCTAATTTTTGAGGGAAAAGCAACACTTCACTTTATTCTATTGACTTGAAGGTTTACCAATAACTCTGATTGCTGTGTGCTGTTATGTATTGTGTATTACATGAGATTTAGAAACCAGAAGTTAAATGGCTAAGATTAAGAGAGTGAAATCTATTTTGATTAATGGACTTTTAATTTCAAGCGCAGGAAAACTGTGTAACAGAGAGTCAGGTAGTAACGTCTCTACATAAAGGCATGAAATTTAGACATAACGTCTGGGATCTTCAACCTAGTAAGTTGAAATCAGGAAACAAAGGGCCCTTTAACATATTTCACACATAATTCACACATAGCCTGAAGTAGTTCGAATAAATATAAGAACAAATAATGTACTCTTAAATGCCCTGATGGAGACTCAAAGAAAGTAAAGATAACCTCCTAAGAAGTCAGAGTCATGTTTCTTATTGTGAGAGATCTCACACTTTGGGCTAAGGGGGAGCATAATAAGAATAAATATCCAGTCATAGAGCTAAAAGTCTTGAAAATATTGAACAAGATACCTATAAATTTCTCTCATCATAGGATGCTTTCCATAAAGGATTTGATGAAGACTTTTTAAAAGTATTTGTGTTAAGAGGGGAGGATATAGGACAGCATCCTAAAGAATGTCTTCCTTCCTCTGTAGCTCCTACATGAGAGGTGTCTCTTGAGCCAGCTCTTTCTTTCCTCAATGCAGTACAGAGCAAACATGTCTATCTTGGCCACCATTGCCAAGTTCAAACACTTTTCTTGGAACAACATCTTCCTCTCAGTATTTACTTTCCTATTGTTCTATTTGGCCAGCATCCCCATAAGCACACAGACTAGCCTGTCTAATAATTGCTTATCTTGTACAATAATGTAAAAGATTTTAATAGTTGTGAATGTGTCTTCTATCTTCATAGTCATGGTTTCTGTTGATTTCCAAGGTAATTTCATTTATCCAGTTGCTGACAGAGGAGCCTTCTGAAGAGCATGTTTTGTGACTTACCAGAGAGCATTAGTGAGATCTGCTTTTAGTTACATGGATGATGGACATGAAGGAATCTTCTGGGAGAAGTTCTGCTGAGTTAGAAGTCCTGGTGGATGTGTGGGCTCACATATGTGCTCTCTCTATGTTCTGCACCTATGTGACAAAAATCATTGAAATAGAGCTTCGTGCAAAGATCAGGAAAAAGAGACGGAAATTAATCATGAAGGATTAAGTGCTTCATATTTACAGATAATTTAATTTAAGGATATACAAAATCTTAGCAAAGTTAATTTAAAGCTACAGAACCCCTACATGGTCCTGTTTGCTACTAATTACTATCAGTGACACATTGATGAAACAAGAGCTAAGATCTACTAAGAAATAAAGCAAAGCAAGCACCACTACCTACTGCTGTTGTTTGAGTTCCCATCTCCTTGACTTGTTTCTGAATCCACTCTGGTCTCTTGCCATGGCCTATGCCAGGTCCTTATTCATGGTTTTCTTCATGGAACTGACTGGTTGCTTACATAGAACTTGCTGTATTCAGGATTGTATTGCAGAAAATTCTGGATTATTACTGTTTCGGATAACGTATCAATTCTATTTCTTGTTTATTTGATTTACATAATTCCTATGAACTAGCAGGAATAATATTCACTTGCAATTAAAACAACACTGCCTCTCTTGCAGTGACTTCCAACTCTTTATTGGAGCTTTTAGAATCAGGGAAGAACTCACAATGGAAATGGAAAGGTACAGTTTGTAAGAAGCCTTGACCATTGGCATTAAAGCCTTTCGTCTTATAACTGATAATTCTTCCTACATTACTTAGAAAATAATCAAATGACATGACTTCTACCTGGATCATTATGTTCCTATAAGTAAGTTTTAAAGTAGGCAAATTTATGAAAAAAGTACTGGGAGTGCAGATTTTATCTTTTTAATTTTACTAGAATATGCTCATTCTGTTATGATCCATCATAAATGGCATAAAAGGCACACTGCTTAGGGTGGTTTGACTTTCTGATTCTTCTACTTTAGATGATGTACAAGCAATACTCACTCATTAGAAACTACACTTTGAATTTTGATTTTTTTCTAGTTTAACTATCCCTTCTCATGATGTTGGACTGCTACATCTACCTGCACCTCTCTCCCATTCAGCTGCCTAATTATATTAGAAACAATCACTACAGTATAGTGCACTGTGGCTGAGTTATGATGTTCAATGAGATAAGGTGTAGGTGGAAGTTTCTGTCCTGCCAGCGCTCCCAAATAAACACACTGAGACTTATATTAATTACAAATGATTGGCCAATAGCTCAGGCTTGTTACTAGCTAACTCTTACATTTAAATTAATCCATATTTCTTATCTATGCTTTGCCATGTGGCTTGGTACCTTTTCTCAGTACTGCATGTCTATTTTGCATCTCTCTGTGTCTGCTGGCAACTCTGCAGTTCTGCTCTTTCTCCTAGCATTCTCGGTTTAGCTCTCCCACCTAACTTTATCCTGTTCAGCTATTGGCCAGTCAGCTTCCTTATTACTCATATTCACTCAGTGTAAAGGAATATCCCACAATAGGATTGTAAAATATGTTTTCAGTGTATGATTCTTTTAACTTACAATGGTTTTTATTGCTATATAACCCACTTGTAGGTTAAAAAGCATTTGTAACAATAAAAAAATAGTACTTTCATCAAGCATTGTTGTAAATTTTCTACATATATGAATATAATCCAGACACCAGTTAACATCTAATTACTCATGGAAATCATATGGTATCAAGTCACAAAAAGGTTTTTGTTAAGTTAAAATGTTACGAAAACATAATTTTTGACCAAAGATTGATGCTTTTGTATTATTAGTAAACCATCCAGGTTTGAGGAGATGACCATTTGGTTTCCAACTTTTAAGCTGAAATCCTCATCAATTTGGATGATGTGGCTGCTCTTGGAGGTGGAAATTTCCACTCCACAATAGTGTATATCACCTTTTTTTAAAAAAAAGAACCATTGCTTCTTGATGGAACAGTTAGTGAGTAGAGCACATTCCAGTCCTTTCTGCTTGATGATTGCCACAGGGGTGATTTATAAATAATTGTTTACTTAGAAATATTTCTCTAGAATTTTTCTGGATTTTGCCTTATTTATTAACTCTATCAAAACATCTTCTGATGCATTAACATTTTGTAGTACTTATTTGTATTTACCTATTTTGTGTTTTGAGCATTTCATGCATGAGTACAATAAAATATGATCATAGCCACACCCCATTTCCCTTTTCCAACTGCCCTGTAACCTCTAATACATCCTTATCCTGTTTCATGTCTTCCTTTTTAATGTTGAAAGGTAATGCACATATAATGTATGAAGATATAAAACTAATAAAAGGCCTATTATGAAGTTGACTTAGAAGATCACACATTAATTTGTTATCCAAATGTAGCACTAAGACTTGTGGGGCTTTTGATGATTATAGTACTAAATACCCAATATAATCAACTTTTAAACAGAAAATTTTTTGTCTCTCTGGATTTAGAGATTGTGATCAAAGAGCAAGCAGAATCTTTGCTCTTAGATCTTAGAAGGCAATGGTAGAGAACACATACAGAGATGTTCTTCACTTCATGGGCCCCAAAACAAATTAGAAAAAAGTATGGTCCCAATGTCATGAGCATCTCCTCTGTTGTTCCATACCCAATAGTTTCTACCACCATCCAGTAATATCCTGTGCAAGAAATGAGATTTATAGCCACATGAGCATCTCCTCTGTTGTTCCATACCCAATAGTTTCTACCACCATCCAGTAATATCCTGTGCAAGAAATGAGATTTATAGCCACAGACTTTTGGGGAATACTTATCTAAACCATAGTTGATCTCAAAATGATCTTTTAATGACTGTAGCTGGAGAATTTTTCTCCAGCTCCCCCCGCCAAGTCCCACCAGTTCCGGAGCCCACTTATAAAATAAACACACAGAATCTTACATTATTTAAACTGCTTGGCCATTATCTCAGGCCTATCATTGTCTAGCTCTCACTCTTATATTCAGCCCATTTCTATTAATCTCTACTTTGCCACGTGACTCGTGGCTTACCGGTACTTTATTTCTTCCTTGTCTTGGCGGTGGCTCCAGCCGGTCTCCCTTTCCTTCCTCCTTCCTCAATTCTCCTCTCTCCTTGTCCCGCCTATACTTCCTGCCTGGTCACTGGCCAATCAGTGCTTTATTTATATAGAGCAATATCCACAGCAAATGACATTTAGTAATGTTTTTTAAATAACAAAACATATCTGTATGATTAAATTTTCATTAAACAAAACTAAATGTATGGATACCATCCTTTTAAACATCCTTTTAAAACTAGATGACCTACTTAGAGTTAAATTTAATGGCAGTTCGCCTATTAATTTTTCCCTCCTTTGTTTTTAAAAAAGGAAAAACGTTTTAAATACATCCACTAAAATGCCAGAATAAGTGTTTGAATGTCTAAATTCTGGGCATTTGATTGACTGCTTGATGAAGTAGTCTTCTAGAATTTTATATATTTTAAATAGTCACAATTCTTGTCAAGTGAGTGATCGCTTCACTGTGGCCTTTACACCAGGTCTCCTTTTCGTGTTGGGATGCAGCTTTCCCCATGGATAGATCTCCTCACCACTGTACCTTGCCACAGCATTTCCTTGTCAGAAAACTATAGCCCTGAATGATGTTCAGAAGACCCTCTCATTTTTTTTCTAAGATAAATTTTAAGCAAATTTGTCTCCTTTACGTTTGAATTTCCTTGCCGGAACATTGGTTCTCTGAAATAAAGAGGAAAAGACAGCCAGTGTGACTCCACACCAAAGAGACTTAAACCAGGTGCCATTTCCCACACAAATTTGGTGTTTTGACTACTTGAAAGTCTGACATCACACATTCTCTTATAGAAAAAAAGAGTTTGACTCCAGTCATGGTTTGTTATCATCATGAGAAAAAAAAATGCATGATATGCCATGTATTCTCAGCAAAAAGGAAAAAGGAAAACAGAATACCTTTATAATTCTAATATAACCACCTCTAAACGGAGTCATAGACATCCTAAGTATGACTCTCATCAGCTCTCTGAAAGTCTCAGCCTAGAACTGGAAGGCACTCAGCTAATGGTGAAAAAAATGTGAATGAAAAATGAATGATTAATATTTCCATGAAAATCTCTTGAATTTAAATTTTTACCAACCTCAAAAATGAGGCTTGGTCCTAGAATAAACTTTTTTTTTTAAATAATGGTTCTCAGAAATAAAAATATCCAAAGTTTTTCACTGTGATATCATACAGAAATGTAGCTGAAGTTTTCCTGGTCCCACCCAGCTCTCATGGTCCCACAGTCCAGCAGCCGCTTATAAAATAATCACTTAGAAGCTTATATTAATTAAAATTGGTTGGCCATTAGCTCAGGCCTACCACTGACTGCCTCTTACATTTAAACTCAGCCCATTTCTGTTCATCTATATGTTGTCACGTGTCCTGTGGCTTTACCTGTATGCCATTGCATACTGCTCCCTGGATGGTGGGCTGGTATCTACTGACTCAGCCGTCCACCTCCTGGAATTCTCCTTTTCTGTTTATCCTGTCAATACTTCCTCCCTGGCTACTGGCCAATCAGCATTTTTTTATTTATTTTATTTATTTTTATTTATCAACCAATCAGAACAACACATTCACAGCATATAGAGCATCCCACAGCACAGAAACTTAGTTTAATGTATGTTATATTCTTTGTAATAAAGTAACTGAAATATTTGTTATTATAATTTTTCTGGAATAAATTGTACAACTCTTAACAAGACTTAATGTAGTAACTCTTCTGGGTTTTTAATATTAGAATCATGAAGACATAATACATTTGAAAGTTGTGTCCCAAGATAGTACAGCTGTTTTCCTTTCTGACAATTCTCTGTGAAAGATGATTGCTTCTTCACCTTTTGAAATAGAACTGTTCATGATACCCCTAATAATATGTCTGATTTTGCTAAGTACTTATCTCTTACCGTGATGTTACCACAAAGACCTGGTTGACTTTGAAAGGGAAGTGCCCCAGTCCCATGTCTCCAGATGCTGTCTACAGAGTCTGCATAGTTATGTATATAATCCCAACAAGAAGCTGTAATCCCACTATCTTCTGTTCTGGGAGGTTACAGACAAATCCAGAAGGAAGGACCATAAAATAATACCACACTAATGCAAATACAAGAAACACAATGAAATAACCTAGACCTGACCTATTTGAATATGGCCATTTTAGATTTGTAATGGAAAATATTGAACAAATGAAAAATAAATCTTCAACATAAATTTTAGAGAACAAGAGATAAAATATAGGCTGTTAGTATTTCCATTCTATAGTCTTTCTGCAGTTTTATTCTGTTTTTCAATGTTTTCTTTGAAGGCTGCTTAGACATATTGGGTGAATACTTGCTCAGAATACACATTTTGTGGCATTTTATTTATTGTCCAGTATTCCACCCTCCAAATGGGACATGTACATTTGTGAGGTGTGTGTGTGTGTGTGTGTGTGTGTGTGTGTGTGTGTGTGTGTGTGTGTGTTGTGCAATGTGTGCAAAAGCATACCTGTGGAGTCCATGGTTGACATTAGTTATCTTCTCAGTCACCTTCCACTGTATTTTTTGAAAAAAGGTTCTCTCAATGATGCTGGGTCCTCCCTGTCCATCTAGATGAGATGGTCAGTGGGCTTGATTAATCCCACTTGTCTCTGCCTCCCATCACTGGGATCCCAGGGATGTTTTCTGCACTGGCTTTTGTTTACGTGGGTGCTGTGAATTCAAACACAGGACCTCCTTCAGCACAGGCAGCATTTTACCTGCTTAGACATATAAGCAACCAATAAAGCATTTTGAGTAGGCAGTGGAGCCACACATTAAGTGTATGCATAGAAGATGCTGTTTTATGATAATGATGACCCACTCCTTCAACATTTATTAAGCACTTTTTATGTCACCAGGGCAAAATTTTTTTGCTTTCATGGACCCCATATTTTAATGATGAATGTACATTATCAATAATCTAAATAGTTCAAGTAATAGAATATGTTAATAGAAGCAAATATGATTGAAGAATAAATGAAGGAGAGTGTAGACTAATAACGGGTAATATAACAATTATAGGCAGACTAGTCAGTAAGACCATCAGTAAGAAGGTAACTCATAATAATGACCTGGACAGCCTGTGGGCCACTCCAAGTCTATAACTGAATATGGAACATTCCAAAACAGTGAATAAAAGGCTGTTTCCTTTATGAGAGGTGGATGTCCACAAGAGGCTTGAAGTGAAGGAATATTGAACAATAAGCCAACACTCAGTGCTTAAAGGAGACTTAATTTGTTTCAGTAAACATCACCTTGGAACTCAAAGTTTTATATATATATATATATATATATATATATATATATATACACACACACATATATAATCACATAATATTTATACATTATATAATATAGGACATGTATATAATATATCATACATATATACATATTTATATTATTGCATAATTTATATTATGTTATGTAGTTATGTCTATATTATATACTATATAAATATATGTGATTATATTATAATATATAGTATATATTATATAACATATATTACTTTGAGTATATATACATATATATGAATTCGAATATTTTGAAATCAAATATTCAATTCACATCACCAAACTTTACTGGAAAATGCTAGATACTGTAGTGAACGATAGTTCTTACCTTAAGTTTTCTTGGTGTAGTGAAGAATGAGGATATTTTTTAAATGATGAAAGAAAAATAGTTCTTACCAGGCAGGAGGATGACACAGATGCATTCCTGTCAGGAGTGAGAAGAGTCAGACAAGCACTAGCTAAGACACATGTTCCTAAAACATTAAATTACTGAATACCTTGATATAACCCAAATAAGTCAATGACTACTTGTGGAAGAACCTGATTACAACTCAACCTTAAAAAAGAAAAAAATTGCTTGAGGAGATAGTAATCCTAGAATCATATTAAAACATGATTGCACTTTGTTTTGAAGAATACATGGTGTCTGCCACGTGTCTGGAAATTTTATCATCCACTTGAAAATGTATACTCTCACTGTTTGTTAATTGAGATGGCTGAAAATCAAAGTATGATGATGTAAATATCCTAATGAAAGTGCCAAAGACCTTCACTTACATATGTTTAATTAAGAAATATGGCAACAGATATGATAAAAAGCTTTAATTTCAGTATCCTTATTAATACCATGCAATGTACATTTCCCAGCCTAACAATTTAGTGATCCGGGTATGGTGGCTCACCCCTGTATTCTTAGCCTTTGAGAAGTTAAGGCAGGAGGATTGCTACAAGTTGGAGTCCAACCTGGGCTAGAGAGGGATACCTTGTCTCCACAGAACCACAAACAAACAAACAAAAATCTGATGACAATGAGCTTACATTTTAAGAATTTGATGTATTAGTGCTTTTGGTCCACTGCTATATTTTCTCCTGACCTTACTCCTGGGAATGCACACACCTTTTACTTCTCATGCTGCAGAACTATAATATATTTAGCATAGAATTCTCTATTATTTTTAGGCCCTAGTGACTGCAACTGTGAACCGGTTCCAAAGTGCTGACATACAGTTATTCTGTAAAGGAACATATTATGTCTCCCTTGGATAGGACCTGGAGACTTGTGAAGGGTGGAAACATTGTCAATCTGTTTCTCAATTCCTTAAGCACTGTTTTTTGTTTGTTTGTATGTTTGTTTTTTATGATTTATCTTTGGCTTTCCTTATTGTCTAATGTGGTGATGCTTTTATTTTAGTCTCAATTATCATTTACTCTACTATTTCAAATGATTTTCTCGTGCTATTAGGTCAGTACTACTTAGATCTCCAGTTGGAAAGATAGTCTTATGCCTCTCTGTCTCTGTCTCTGTCTCTCTTTCTCTCTGTCTGTCTCTCTCTCTGTCTCTGTCTGTCTCTGTCTGTGTCTGTCTGTCTGTCTGTCTGTCTGTCTCTCTCTCTCTCTCTCTCTCTCTCTCTCTCTCTCTCTCTCTCTCTCTCGATGTTAGATTTAAAGAACTTAGATATTTTCCCTAAGTAGGGGAAATTTCCAAGTAGATAGCATTCATTGAGAAAGGCAAAGTGACAAAAACAAACATTCAGAAATGTAATTGTATTAGAGAAATTTTCTCTTTACTAAAAGACTTTTGGTTTAGCCATTCCACTGAATGTTTCATGCATTTAAAATGAAGCCAAGTGGAAAGACTTTTCCTTACAAGGTGTGTCATCTGAAACACTGGTATTACCAGGTCTTATTGGTGGGACAACTCATCTTATGCCATACTCAAATCATCTATCTTATTTTTTCATAAATACTCTTAAAGTTCTTTTATCTCTGGCAACAAAGAAATCCGATTAATCCTCTTGCCACGTTGTTTACCAGACTCATTTGTTAGAGGAATCCTCTTTTTATATCAGATCAAAGAACATATTTCTGTGGCTAGTGTTTCATACACAGTTACTGGAAGTTTACCTTAGCAACTGCTGACAGACTAGAATTCACATTTAATTAGCAAAGAGACTCTCTTTGTTTTGTGCAGCCTCATAGATAGCTTGCTACTATTTTAGCTTCCTGTGTGATAGAGCTTTTAGTAGTAAGCAGGACAGTGGTAACTGGCTCCCTGTACAGCAATACACTGAGAGTTCTTAATTTACTTTTCAAGAATTTACCAGTATCATTTTGTAACAACTAAAGTTTGTGTATGCTTGGCTTCTATGGAAATTCATTGAATTTGGTGACAGTAATTCATTGACTATCACTGACTAGAGCTGATTATCAATGTGAACACTTGGTATTTACCTGGAACATAATTGACAGACACCACCCAAACTGACTTCCTCTCATCCTACTACTCTGTGAGATTCGACACCTGGAGCGTTTACTTTTCTCATTTGAATTGGATAATCAGAATAAATTTATTTTAGTCCTTAGGACTCTGCTTAGATGTCCTCTCCCTAAAAATGTTCATCTACTTCATGACTCCATCTTAGTCACTATCCGTGCACTGACACTTGTCTTAATTTCCTCAATGGTGACAGCTGTTTATCCGTACTTCTGCAAGATAGCCTCAATGCTTTAGTGTTTGTCTTCATTGAGCTTTACTCATACTCCTCTTTGCACTACACGTTCAGTGAAATGTGATTGATGGGACTTGATAGTCTGTGATTTCCTCCTATTCAGAGACCAACAGGGTTGTGTGCGTAGTGGGTACATAAAATGGAATGGCATAGCAACTTAAATACTGGCCCTAATGATCCTTCTGTGACAGGAAAATAACATTAGAATGCAGATCACAAAGCACGTAATGGGTTTTCAACTAGTTTACACCAGGATACTTCATAAGAAAAGGAGGATATTCTGGAATTTAAACTTCAGATATAAGTGGTATGTTTTCTTGTTGTTGCTTTGGTTCTGGCTGGTTATTTTAGCCAAATAAAAACTTTTTTTAAAATTAAAAATATGTCTTTTAAATCAACATTGTTCCTACAATTTCATTTCTAAATTTTTGTTCTCTTATTTTTTATTTCCCTAAATTTCTCTTTACAGTTAAAAAATATTTCCCCATCTTCATACAGCTTTTAATTTTTTGAATTTAAAATATAATTATATCATTCCTCCTTCCTATTTCTTCCCTCAAGCCCCTCCCATGGATGTCCCTTGCTTTCTCTTGAATTCATAACCATTTTTCTTCAATTGTTTTTACACACACACACACACACACACACACACACACACACACACAGAGCTAAATATACAAATATATAATTATATTCCTAAATATGTAAGCCGCTCAGTTTATATAATGCTACTTGCATTTATATGATTTCAGGGTTAACCATTCAGTGTCGGGTAACTAATTTGGGGGCTCTTTTTTGTTGAAGACTGTTTTCTTCTACTCCGAGTGATCATTATTTAAAACATTAGCAAGTGTGAATATGAGCTATAATTTAGAAACATTAGCAGTCCACTTCCTTCCAAGCCATAGCTATGAGACTAATGAAAATCATTTCCTAAGCTGTAGGACTATATCTCATTTCAACATTATGTTGTGCATTACTGGTCTCAATTTAAACTTTTTGGTAATGGTGCAGAGTTTAGAACAATGATTTCCCTTAGAAAATGTAGCATTCCTTGTTTATCTATAGTTCTTTGTCTAGAGTTGGTATGGCTATGGGTATTGCCCTTGTTGGGGGTCTTATTTAAGTAGCCATATTGTTGAGACTTCATAGATGTAGTGTTTCTAAACTTTCTGTGAGACACAATTTCACAGCAGACATCGTGGTTCTCTGCATCATCCATGATGTTTTCTGATCTTTGGATGAAGGAGCTGTGTAAACTGATCAGCTGAAGTTGGGCACCACATGAACTTCCATGGTTCAAATTATTTCAGACATATAAAAGTTTTCAAAAGTGCTACAGAAATATCTTTATAGTTTACAATCACTTTCACCACATGTTAATGATGCAGGTTTTTCTTTTTTTTTTAACCTGGGACTTTCTTGGCTCAGCTATTCTTGACTCAGGCTCCTTAGGTGCTGGACCCTCATTGGTCATCAAAGATCACCACAAGTGTGTTATCTCACACCAATGAAATTTAAAGACACAAACTATATGCAATCTGCAAGCTTTATTAAGGTGAATTAAAGAAAAGTAAGAAATTTCCAAGAGAAAAGGGAGTTGGTTTCTAAGAGAGGAACATAATCACACTCTTTTATCTAGGCTTTTTATAGGGTTGTCAAGGAAACTGAACAAAACTGAGGTAATTTTAGTTGATATTGGTTAATTATCTGGATTATTGTAGGCTGAGCCAATGGAGGGTCCACAAGCTGTATGCATGTCACCCAGGCCTAATAGGTTGATGATCATGTGTTGTCTACACTGTGAAGCTAAGGGAGGTCAAAGCTCCTGTCTGTTTATCCTTGACTCATGCTTACTTTGTTGCTGACCCTGACTATAATTTGTTAACTACTTGTTGCTACCTCTAACCTTGCAAACGTCTCAAGTCTTGTTAATTCTCTTTTTCAGAGGCAGGGTTTCTCAACCTTCCTCATGCTGTGACCCTTTAATACAGTTCCTCATGCTGTGGTGACACTCAACCATAAATTTTCATCACTACTTTATAGCTGTAATTTTGCTACTGAATCATAATGTAAGTTTCTGATATATGGGATATCTGATATGCGACCCTTGTGAAAGGATCATTGGAGAGCCACACACAGGGAGGTCTCAATCCATCTATTGAGAACCCCTGCTCTAAGGGCTGGTCTTGGGTCTCTGCTGAACATGAGGCTTCTTGTTGGAAGTTATTGTTACTTATAGTTTAGTCTGTTATAATGATTTGATTGTTTGTTAGAAGGAAGAATAAAAAGGGGGAAACAGTGCCTTACATATATTCCTTCCAGGAGTTGGTTGGGGAAACTGTGAGAATGCTATTGTAGAGCCCTGTCTCTCTCTCTTATCTCTCCAGTGAGTTATCTCATACCAAACTACAAGCTCTTTTGTTCATCTCTCTCTCATTGTTCTTGACCATGCCATATTAACTCTCCATCTTCCTTTTCACCACAGCATCTGTCCTCATTGCAACACATATGAGCAACTTCTCATTGCTTTTATTTATCATGAGCCCATTCCCTTATGAGATAGAGATAGAGATAGAGAGGGAATGGGCTCATGATAAATAAAAGCCTCATTAACTTCTCACATGGTTGAAGTAGAATTATAGAAACCAGGAGATTAATTGAAATTTTCTATTAATTAGTCTATAAACTACTCACATTTTATGAGTTGGTTCAAGGAAGCTTTCCCCCTTCTGCCTAAAACCTAATCCAGAATCTAACAGTTGAGTCCATTCTTTTTTATGCAGCCTACCATTGCCTTAGTCTTACATTCTCCAGAATGATTAGGAGGCTTGTAATAAAAACATGCTAACTAATGCTTTTCAGAATATCAGTCTCAGGTTATCACATATGCAAGAAGTCATTATTCCACTGAGACATAGATCCAGAGTCTCAGGAAAAAACCCAGAAAATGATATACCCTAACCAATCTGAAGTCTGACTTCTCTGTCATGTCACTGAAATTTCTCTCTCCAGTGCCTATGGCCTGCTACTAGCCAAACATGTTTATTATGTGCACCACTTAATAACATCGATTATTCTCTATGAATCACTTACAATCTCAAAAAAAAAAAAAAAAAAACAAGAGTGAAACAGTCTCTCTTGGTTCTGCTGTTTCTTTCCTAAATGTTTCTTTTTATCCTCAGTTTCTCTATCACTTGGTACATATGTTCTGCAACTCTGCAAAGGTTCCAAAGCTAAGCTCATCAGCTTTGGGCAGGTAACTCAGTATTTACTTCCAATTTGGATAATTCCCATGAACTTTACTGCTGAATTCCCAGTAAATAATACAACTCCATTCATCACCAAACCAAAATCGTAACTATCTTTCAATCATATACTTCTTATTAATCTTCCTCCACTCACTCACTTGGACTAAGACTAAATCCACTGATTATGTCTGTCTTTACTTTGTCCTGTTCAAACTAACCTGTAGTAGTATTAGCAGTAAATAGCAGCAGCAGCAGCAGGAATAGTATTTTAATCCAGGCTGCTCTCCCTCTCTTGTTCCATGTTTGAACATGCCCAGTTTTCATTTAGGAATGGCATACATCCTACCTACCACAGGAATGTGTTCTGATATTCTCAGTGATGCCATTATGTCCTGTAATATCTTTCATTGTAAACATGCATGTACTGCTTTCCTCGGGGACCACAAACCCCTCAGGTGATGTTCGTGGTTTCCATAAACTAGTCCAATGCTTTATTTATAAACTGATTTTTGAATTGACCAGAAACAAATTCCCTCTGGATTCTTATGTTTTGCATTATTTAGTCAACATTGAAGTACCGTGCTCTTCCCAGAGATGATGTTACTCTGAAATAGGGAGCCTATCAGATTCTTCATATCCATCCTACCATCCATCTATTCAGTTATAAGCTATTATTAATAAACCCCATATAAAGCCATGCATTCCCTGACAGTTCCTGAACAATCAATATGTTTAATAGTTAATTAAATCAAATTGTTTCATTACACTAACTGTGCTAAGGCAAAAAATAAAATGATGTATTTTTTTTTTCTGTGTTTCTCCCATTAGTGATCAGCAAAGGAAACAGGTACATGATCTGATGCTTCAATTCCGAAACTGATGCTGTGCTTTTCATTTATCCAATTAGGACCTCTTAGCACCTCAAGTAGGTGCTTACAAAACAGCATCATTTATAGAAACAACAATGCCCAGATGTAAGCCCAGGGACAAAGGAACAAATGCAAATTCAATACTTTTCAAAAGAGAATATGTACATTTCTGATCCCTGGAGAGCATTCAATAAATATCAGGTGTACTAAAATCAATCTACAGTTTGCTGGTGGTTCTGTGCATGAATCATTTAATAAAGTTTGAATTTGGCTTATAAACACTGATATGCATTTGAGATAAATATTCACATGTAAACGTGTAAGTGAGGACCTTCACAATCTAAAAGTCCTCAATTTCAAGGTTTTAACAAAGAAAAGAAATAAAAACAAAATATAGTAAGTGAATAGCAAAATGTAATCACATTTCTAGTATCCTACTGTGTAGTTATTTGTGAAACGGATTAACATAAAATGATGCATACTGACAGTAGTCACTCCTCTACACAGTTATGAAACATGAACACAGTGGAATCCACATATTCTTACTTCCATCAGCTTGGCTTGACACTAGGCAATCAACCACAGCAAATTGAAGACCTCCTTCTGCAGGGATCCTCAATTCCTCTGTCTTAGTTTTTCATTCAGATCTCTGATTCAGGAGCCACTTGTTGACTTTTTAGCTAACCTGTGTAGAAAATGTCTGATGGGACCTGGGATCTGAGGACCTGAAAAAATGGGACAGACTACAGTCTAATGCTGTAGACAATCTGACTTCATTTTCAGTGTACTTTTATACATGAACACAACAAAGCAGTGATCTAAGAAAAGTTGTTTGAGTTCAGAAAAACATGTAAATAAATGCCAGTAAGCACATACTACATACTGACAGAGTAGCCCCTTTCCCAGAACTTTCTCAGAACAGACCAATTTAAAGACAATTGCCTGGCATGTACTATAGATTATATCTGGGAAATCACAAAAGCAAGGCAAAAGGCCATATCCAGATTCAAGACACACTGGCCAGATTGGGTTCTATAACTACATTATGACATCCAATAAGAATAAACATATCTTTTTTTTTTTTTTTTTTTTTTTTTGGTTTTTCGAGACAGGGTTTCTCTGTGTAGCTTTGCGCCTTTCCTGGAACTCGTTTTGGAGACCAGGCTGGCCTCGAACTCACAGAGATCCGCCTGGCTCTGCCTCCCGAGTGCTGGGATTAAAGGCGTGCGCCACCACCGCCCGGCAAGAATAAACATATCTTATAAATTGAATGTAAATGTTTAACACAGGAGGCATGGAATCACATCCAAGAACAATCCAGGAAATAAAAATGCACGTGAGGTAAAAGGCTCTTAGCTCTTTTTCCTAGAGCCTCTCTCACAGTTCCCCAAGGCATTGCTCAGCCATGAATCATTCTTATGACCAAGTTCCAACATATTGGACTGCTGACATGTATGTCTGTGCACTATGTATGTGTGGTGCCTGCACAGGCCAAAAGAGGGTGTCAAATTGCCTGGGAGTATAGTTAGTTACAGATGGTTGTTAGCTGCCATGTGGGTGTTGGGAAGTGATTCCTGTTCCCTAGAAAGAGCAACAGGTGCTCTCAAACCCTGATCCATCTTTAGCCCTCATCGCAAGCAACGATTTTTAACCTTAGAAAATGTGGTTAGTACTTTAGGTCATCAAAGTCTTCGCCGTGTGTATGCAGCAGTTGGTTAAAAGATCTTGATGCCTAAAGGACTTTTAAATGACTTGCAAAATCAAGTTCACATAACTCATGTGCATCTAGTGGCGTGGGGGCTCCTCTGTTTCTTGATGTTTTTACAATTAAAGTCCTTTCTAGGATTATATATTTGGAATGACTTCTTTTTACTCCCTATCCTATTCAGAAGTCTCTCTATAGGACCTCCTAAGACTGTGGTAGTAGACAGGGACAACCAAGAACACAAAAAGGAAAAGAGCTAAAGGGTCATTTTAGGTAAAAGACTAAAGAAACACTATTCTTGGATAATCCCCACTACCATTTTACCTCACCAGCTTCATTTTTCCTCTACTAGTCAAGTTTCAGAAACCAGCTGGGATCTCCCGCTCCCCCAAGCTCTCTTTCCCTCGACCCTCGCCTTACACTACCCCCACTCATGTCCAGGCTGTTCATGTAGATCTCATTCCATTTCTCTGTCATTGGGCGATCCCTGTGTCTTTCTTGGGGTCCTGTTTTCCAGGTAGCCTCTCTGGTGATGTGAGTAGCAGACAAGTCATCCTTGTTTCATGTCTAGTATCCTGCTATGAGTGAGTACATACCATGTTTGTCTTTCTGAGTCTGGGTTACCTCACTCAGGATGATTTTTTTCTAGATCCATCCATTTGTCTGCAAACCTCATGATGCCATTGTTTTTCTCTGCTGAGTAGTATTCCATTGTGTATATGTACTACATTGTGTTTATCCATTCTTCAGTTGAAGGGCATTATTTGGTCTGATTCAGTTAGAACCTTTATTCTGGACTTAATGTTCTTAGGTTTTGGATCGAGAGCAAGCGTTATTTAAGATAAAATCTGTTTGGGATATGGCTTGTCTTGGTTTCTTTCATGTTGCTGTGATAAAATGCCCCGAGAAAAGCAGCTTCAGGGAGGAAGGGTTTATTTGAGGTTACATTGCAGGGTCATAGTCCATTATGGTGGAGAAGTAAAAGTGTCAGGAGCTTGTGAAGATGGTCACATTATATCACAATCAGGAACCAAGATCAATGGATGCTCCTGAACATCTTACTTTCTTCATTTCATGCAGTCCAGGATGCCTGGAATAATCCCACTAAGGTTAATATGGCTCCTCTCACATCAGCTAACCTAATCAAGACAATCCCCCCACTAGCGTGTCCAAGACTACTATCTCACTACTGATTCTTGTGCCTATGAAGTTAATAGTTACCACTAACCATGGCATATATTAATATGCCTTATGTGTATTCCTTTTCTTCCAGAAGCCCTAGAGATGGTCAATGAGTTTTGGTGAGGATGCTGATGACACAAAAATGTTATTTACCTAGCATGCCTTTGCAAGTTCAGTATGAATGTGATTAAAGTGAACATTGGAATTAAAAAGTTTTAATGAATTTATTTTCATTAATATTCCAGGTGGTATTAGCCATAAAATTCCTACCTTGTGACTCCTTTAAAACTAGAAACATTATTCAGAAAAAGAATAAGTATTCAAAATCTATTTTGCTGTTATATTTGCTTCACTCTCTAAAATGTGAAATTTTTGCAAAGGAAAACATTGAAACTCCATTAAAACATAGACTACTAGTTTATTATGAAGTATATATTTTATGGGGCACCTATTATTTTAAGCTGTTCTACTGCTTTTAACCCTTGTTATAAAAATGTTAATTTCTGCTGTTTACAGTATTTGTTTTTCTAAGAATTTATATTTTTAAAGGACTTATTTTATGTATATGAGTGTTTGCCTGCAAAGATATGACACCGCTCCCCATCTCCATGGGCACTGAGGAAAAGACTTAGTGCTTTCCTACTTCAACATCATATTTTATTTTCACTGAATTCTGTTAAAACATCCTTATGTGGTATCTATAGCAACTAATGTCTAGTTTGTGTTTTTCATTAAATTAAACATGTCAGTTGTAAGTAAATAGCACAGCATTTTTGAGATTTCTTGGTGGGAGATATGACATTAGTCTCTGATAAACATGCAGCATCATCATAGTGACCTGTGAACATGGCCCCAAATGATAATGTGTTCTCCATCTAAAAGGCAAGCAAGTCACGTAGGCTTCCTCAGGCACTTTGAAATATTTTGGGAAATGAGTTTTTCTTCTTCAGTGAATCACTTTTCCAGAAGAAACCATTGAAATCCAATAAGATCAGTGCAGAATGCCACAAGATTACCTAAGTGGTGGTGTTAGTCCTCAGTCCAACGCTCACATCCTCCAGAACTGTCATATTTCTCCCAATGCAGGAGCATCACCTTTGGCAAGAGAGAAAGCAGAGGATAATGGAAATAGAATTGCCATGTGTAGATGACCCCAATCCCTCTCACAGCAAGTTTTATTTTTCCTTAGAACCCTCAGAGTCACGCTTTGCTTACCACCCACCCAAATGCCTAGGATTTGCTTTTAAAACAATCAGCTATTATTTCTCAAACATAAACTTTCAGCAGAAATAACTGGGAACTTGAGTTTATTAAACTTTTACATTCTTAACTGTGGCCCGAGGGGTACTTTAAATTCAACCATTGGCTTTCTTATGCCCCCAAAGCATACAGTATGAAGTAGATGAGAAGTAATTATGTAAAATACCCTTTCCAAATCCCCAGTCTCAGATTTCTGCTGGATAATAAAGAAAGAATACATAGTGTCCATACGATGGAACACACTAGACATAGATTGAATTTCTTGAAAAACTGAAAAGTAGTACTAATGAATAAAATCATAGCCCCAATTATATATCATAATATATACAAATGTGTGGAAACTGAACTGGAGATGAAGGTAAGAGATTAAAGAATAGTTCAATGACCTGAGGGATGACATAATATAGAATATTAGGTAATTATTCCAAGAACTTGTGTGAGGGCTGTATGTGCTGACTAGAACATTTCCCATGGTATACATTTGGGGAAAAAATAAACCAATTACAGTGTACTTTGAGAACTTTTTTGTTATAGGCAACACTATGTCAAATTAAGCCTTGTGGACACAGCTTCAGTGTATTTGTTTAGTGAAAATATTGAATGCATATTTGTTCACACAGTTTAATTTTCTTGAAAACTCTGCCAGACTAGTGTCATATTGAAGGAGTAGAATGCTATATATTCATTTTATATAATGATAACAATAATAATAATAATAATAATAATAATAATAATAATAGCAGTATAGATTTTGAGGCTAGGAAGGTCTTTCTTTCCAGAACTGCCTGGTTTTATAGCCATTGAACTAATATTCAAATGTTTTCCTGCAACATAAGCTAAAATTAGTTGCCATTCTGCTGAGTGATGTTTATTGGAAAGTCATAAATAATCTATTCAGTAGTAAAATAGAAACTCTCTTGGGTTGGAACAACATTCTTAAATTGTATACAGCTGTATTCAGATCAGAATCTATTCAGCATTTTCATCTTATCGTTTTGCAGAGTAAAGTGACTCGCATTCTCTTCCCCTTGCTTTGCTTTATTGGATTTCACACCTGTCTCAATCCCCTCAGTTCACACTTGTACCACTAGGGGCACCGTCCTCAAGTCTGGCAGAGCTTGATTGGTGATGTCAGTAGTTCTACTCCATGCTACCGCTGGAGGATGTGATTTGGAAGCAGCTCTATTTTTGTTGCTTCTCCTGGCACTCTGTACCAGTGTGTTCACCAACAGCCTGCTCTCTTAATTAAAATCCCCTCGGACTGTCTCCCACAAATGACCATCTTTCAGCATTAGTCAAGCTCTCATGTGGGGGAGTCACACCTTCCAGTGAGGATTAAAATTTCAGTCCATAATTGTTCAGATCCACTGGTGTGAAACTCACAGATACAGAGAGCCAACTTTATCAAATGAAGCTTATGAAGATACTCAGCTCATAATTTTTGTTTGAAGATGAAATGAATTATTATAATGCAATGTACTTAGACTCAAACTTGCCAAATAGAAACATAAAATAAATATAAATTATCTTGATTTTATGTAAAAGCTGAGTTGTATCATTCTTAATTGTTAATGAAATCTAAAAATATATAATTAGTCATAAGAATTTGATATGTATTGATACACTGCGTTGAATACTGATTCACAGCTGTGAATACTGATTCGGATGCTATGAAAGATGGCTGTGTCTGGGAAAATATCTTAATCAATAGTCACTGTTTGTGATGGGTTAAGTGTTTAAATAAAGTAGCTGATGATTGTAATAAATTCAAATACAATGTTCTTATTTTAAATCAAGACAGGTTATTAACAGAATAAAAAAACAGGACCTTGCTCTTTTTCTGTTTAAAAGATGATAATATGCAAAACCATTTTATCAGATGTTTTATTATGAAGTTAAATTTTATTAGGCAAAAGGAAACACCTCACAATGTGACACTGAACTTCCCTTGGACCCCTTTTTTATTGTGGATTTTTTTTTTTTTGTTTTTGTTTTTTTTTTGTTTTTCGAGACAGGGTTTCTCTGTGTAGCTTTGCGCCTTTCCTGGAACTCACTTGGTAGCCCAGGCTGGCCTCGAACTCACAGAGATCCGCCTGGCTCTGCCTCCCGAGTGCTGGGATTAAAGGCGTGCGCCACCACCGCCTGGCTTATTGTGGATTTTTAACAACCATCAAAAGGGAGAATATTCAGTACTAATACTTCGAATATTACTAAATGTGGAAGTTATATTTCTCTTGTGAAATGATTGCTTTACATAAATGCCTAACTGGCACCCAATTTAAAGATGAAGTACTACGTGTGCCCACGCAAATGCAGAGTATGGAAATATTACCGACCAAGTCAAAAGAAAGGGAGGAAGGAAGAGAGGGAAGGAGAGATGGAAGAGTGAGGAAAGGAGGAAAACAGAAAGAGGGAAGAGAGGAAGGGCCTTGGGGGGAGAGAGGAGAGAGACATATAAAGTTGATTATAAACAAAGGACATTCAGCTTTCTATTTTAATACATGTCCTCTTTGTCTTCTAGAAATTAGATTATCATATACTCAAATACTCTCGAAAATTTAGGTTCTGCTTCTTTTACAATTTACTTTGAATTACTTTAATCATATTATCAGACTAAAATTCTGCTTATGATCTGCCAAAATCAGCTACCCTGAGGATATTGTAATTGAGCCATTTTTATCTGATCAGGCCTCACATCATAAAATTTTTTAATTTTGACTGACACCCCCAGTCCTCGGGAAGCTTGATATCAAAACTTAGAGATGTTTCTGGATGAGTGGAAAACGTGGTGTTTTGATGAGTTAGGAGTTACCTAAGAAAATATTTGTTTAAATCCAAAGGAAGCATTGACTGCCATTTTTCATCGGAAGTATTCCCATCAAATGCATCATTTCCCAGAGAACATTAGTCTTTGCTTATTTTTAGTTGAGAACTTTTATTTCCAGTATATATTTGTACTTTATGTCTTCTTATGATATCTTGAGGTCTCCTTCCGTTAGCTGAGAGAATGGCTGGCTCACCACAGGATGCACAGAAGGTATCATTAGGTGGAAGATATGATTTTGTTTTCCTTAATGAAGAGGATAGGCCTGTGGACACTGGAAAATGGCATCTGGAGCATTGTACAGTAGGAGCCTGCACTAAGGAGTCAGAGGTTATCAATCTACGCGTAAGAGGTGGTGTAAAAAACATACAGTCAAAGCAGAAAAAGAAGCCAAGGAGAAATCTGAAACAACACATACATTTAAAACAATTGAAAAACTAAAATATATAAGATGAAAAACTAATAGATGTCATGGAAGCCAAGAAAATAGTGGTATTACTTTGGTTCACATTTCTCAGAAATTACTTTCTAGATCTTACTTCCTTACCTGAGAAAATATTTGTTTAAATACAAAGGAAGCATTGGGATTGCCATATTTCATCATAAGTATTTTAATAAGCTTTCAATTTTAATACTTTTAGAATTATTACAAAGTTTGTATAAGATGGAGTTATTTTTAGGTCTTCTTGTTTCATATTCTATTTTTGATATTATAATTTAATTACAACATTTTTCTTTACCTTTCCATTCTCCAAGTCCTCCCATATGCCCTCCATGCTCTCCTTCAAATTCATGGCCTCTTTTTTTTCATTAGTTGTTGTTACATACAGATATGTATATATATATATATATATATATAGATAGATAGATAGATAGATAGATAGATAGATAGATAGATAGATAGATAGCTACACATTCCCAAATATAACCTGTTGTGTCTATATAATGCTACTTGTATGTTTATTTTCAGGGCTGATCATTTGGCACTGGACAACTAACTGCTGTTCTCTTCCCTGAGGAGGCCTACCTCTTCCACTCCCAGCTTTGCTCAGATGCCTATAGTTCTTTATGTAGGACTGGATTGGCATGAAGTCTAGTAGGCTTTTCAGTTTGGCCTGTTCATTGGTGTCCTCCTGGTTCATCTTACATTTTGGTGGCCATGTTGGTGAGACTTTACAGGTATAGCTTCTGATGCTACCAGGAGACACAAATTCACAGAGAACTCTCTGATCCACTGGCTCTTACAATCTTTCTGTCCATTCTTCTGAAATGTTCCCTGAGCCACAGATGAGGGAGTCTTTTGTACATGTATTCGTTGGGACTGGGCTCCACATCTCTTTATTGTGAATGGATGTGTTTTTCTACAGTGGTTTCAAGATGAAGATCTTATATAGCTCACAACTAGTTCCTATGATATGAACATAATATCTTGGTCACAATTAATGAAACATGACAAGTAAATGATTATACTCCGTATTTTATGACTCCTCAATATTCTTTTACTGATGCTCTTGTTCTGAGAGCTCATTTAAGATATCAAATTTCAGTCAGTAGTTGTGTCTCTATACTTGCTTCTAACAGTTTCTCAGATTTTGCTTATGTCTTCTAACCTTGATCTGTCTGAGGTTTACTGATAAATTTCTCTGTAAAATATCCCTCTGAATTTTCCTGATACTTTCCCCATGTCTAGATTGGAGTTGTGTTTGTAGGCATAAAACATCTCTATGAAAGTGTGCAGTTTCTTTCTTCATCATTCATTCTTTAGTCTTAGGAAGGAAACCAGCCAAGAAAGAGAGGGAAATGATGCTCCCTCCCCCAGAATAGAAGGTCCCTCCCCCAGAATAGAAGGTAGACGTATGGAACTTTTGAGTTTCTTGTGTAAGATATTTACCTACTCTCTGTGCATTTGTTTAATCATTTACTTCCATCAAGATAGACTGGTGAATACTTATTTTTTAAATAATCCACTATTATTTTACGTGTGTGTTCAACTTGCTTTAGCTCTCATTTCTGGACTTCCTTAAATGTCATCTACATCCCTTTGAAATTCACTGACAATACATTGTTACGCTTTCTTTGTAATGCTTTTTATTCTTCGTCACAATAAGGTGCTTAGGTCCATCCTGTAGATTCCTGCCTGCCAAGTCCTTGAGCCAATCACCATTTCCCTAAGGATTCCCATCTCCTTTTGTGGGAGGGACATGTTAAAAGCTAAGATCTGAATCTAGATATGCTCATTGCTGCCAAGATATCTTTGGTTCAAGACCTACCTTATAAGGCAGAAAAACAAAACCATGTACTTGTTTGGATCATCCTTCATATCAGAATCAATGTTTCAGTTATATATATATATAATTTTTTCTCTTAATTCTTTTTAAATTCAAATATTTCATCTTTCTTATTACAGCAAATAGCATTTTTCAGAATTTGAAATTTAGAGGTTTCATGACTGATAAGGTGAAAAGCAACTGGCTTTTGTCTGTCAGTCATGTGTCAAGAAAGGATGCTGTATTTCTCCTTTATATTTTCTAGAAAGATAATCAATAATCCATGAATAAATATGATTTTATGTGCCTTTAAAATATTTATGTTTTAGCCACTTTTCTTGTCTTATTACACTAGCTACTTTTATACTGGAATAGCATCTACGTTTTCACCCTCGCTGTGATTTTAGCTATAGGTTTTCACAGATGTTCCTCATCAGTCAGACAGGAGTTTCCTCTATTCCTTGTTTGTTCAGTTTGCTTCACAACTGAGCAATGAGTTTGTCAAATGCTTTGTCTTTAGAATCAGTTGATATTCCATATGATTTTTCTTTTTTAGTGTGCTGAGGGGGTGGTTTCAGATGTTGAATAAGCATTTTTTTACATTGAAAATGCTACCTGTTGTTTCTGTATATTAATGTCATACATTGATGAGTTTTACTTGTAAATGTTTATTGAAGATTTTTCTTTTATCTTCTTAAAATACACTGGTGTATAATTTTCTTCCCTTCTAGTAGCTCTCTTGGTTTTTGCATTAAAGCACTTCTTGCTGCACTGAATGAGTGATCGAATGTCCTCTGCTTTGACTCGTCTTCAGAAAGACTAATGTAAAATGTGTATATCTTTCTGCTTGTGAAACCTTTAGTGACAGCTGCTAATTTTATTGAAGAATATCAATAATTCAACTAAACTGTACATACTTGATTGTAGGTATCATCCGTTACTCCTACCACTATTACATTGTTTTTAATTCTCTCGAAGGCATAAAATATGTGACCGGATATATTGCTTTCAGGAATTCCTCACAAAGTAGATTTTTAGATCTAGAAAATGGGACAGTGAACAATGATCATTCTGAGATTGAAGCTTTACAAGAGTCAGTCATGTTAGAAAAATTAAGTATCTTCTAGTCAACATCCTCTGTGTTTTCACATATGTCTGTGTGTGTCTGTATGGACTTCCATTTCCCACCTTAGGAAAAAGTAAAAGAAAACTCTACATGAGGACTGTATATTATCCTTTAACTAATAAAAAATTTTGTGTAAAATAGTTCACACATTAATTTAATATAATAGTTTCTTTAAAATTATCAAATATATTTAAACTTTATTATAAAAAAGCATTGCAAATTTAAATTCATCAGACAACAAGATTAAGCACACCAAAGATTATACAACTCAAAGAATTTTTTATAAGCTAGAGCAACCATTCGAAATAACAGCTATGGAGCTTCATTTTGTGTTTTATTCTTTGATTATCAAATATATTTTTATGTCTTTATCCACTATCAGACTGAAAAATCTTTGAGGAAGTTGAAACAATTTGCTTTGCATCCTCTGACATAATTTGTGTTCCTTGCCTGCTTTCAGCTCTTCCTCTTCCCCTAATAAATAGTATTTTTCTAACTCTTTTCCTGTATCCACATCCATACTTGTTTACATATATACATATATTACCAGCTAGATTCTGATTATGAGGAAGAACACGTATTTCTTTTTTTTTTTTCTGAGATGGTGTTACCATAATAATTTGTTTGTTTAATGAATACATCCACTGTATGTTTACCATTTATGTGAAATATTTTCCAATGTTTCTTGGATGTTTTTCAGTGAGAAACAGGTGTTCACAATTTCTCCCTTATCAGGTGTTCAAAGTATCATATTATTATTAGAACATCTTCTCAAAGTGAGAGCCACTGTAGTGTACTTTGGAGTATCATACACAAAGGTTCTATTTTGAATTTTATTATAAAAGGCTCATATTTCAAAAAGTATTGATCTTTTTGTTTCAACTAAAATTAAAAATAATAAAAATATATTTACAAAGGAATAATGCAGAAGATAAAATTCATAGTTTTGTGTAAACACTGATGGATTTGGGCATTAGGAGCTCAGTTGGTTTGCAGTATCAAGACATACACCCTTAGTAACTGGCTCATTTTGTATAAGGGTACTCAAAAGAAAAAAACAGATAATTCATTGGCTATCAGCATCTTCACCATATCATATATGAAGAAATCATATTGTTTATAAAATAAAATTCACATAATTTTGTGCTGTGTAGATCACCACTCAGTAGAGTGTTTGCCCCATCAGAGCATGGGGACATGAGTTCAGATGACAGGACTCACATGTTAAAACTAGGCACAGTTTAATCCTAGTTCTAGGGAGGCAAAGACAGAATGATGCCCAGGATTTGCTGGCTACCTAGTGTACCAGAACCTGTGACCTTTGTGAATCAGTGAGACTTTGTCTTTAAAAAGTAGGATGGAGAGTGATTCAAGAGGACACCTAATGGCCACCTCCAGCATCCAAGTACATATGCAACAGGTGCACACACAGATAAACATGAACGCGTGCACACACAACACACATACAACAATTCCAAAAGTGTCTGACGTGGTGCAATAGTAGAAACAAATATTCAGAACTGCAGAAGAAACAACTTTCTGAAAACAATCATGGGAACTCTTGCAGTGTGTTCCTTCCATAACTGTTTCATTGTCGCTCATCACAGTCACTTTAAAGTTCATTATTTTAAATATTAGTTATTTCCTGATATGACCATGAAAGCTAAGGTCAACACACAAAAGGTGTTTGCTTTCCTCCTCAGGCTTTCACAGGCTGTTGGGAGTAAAACTCCTCGGTTGTAGTCTATGCAGTAGCTCTCCTCCCAGCTTTCTCTCCTCCTCGTGACAGAGGATTTACTGAGTAATGTGCTCCACATGTCCAGAGGTTGGCATCTATTTGTTGTACAATTGATCTTAATTATCAAATCCCTTCTTCCTAATTTTGATAATTGTAATATTGGACTTCCTCTGGCTACTTCCTCATTTAATTTTTACTCTATGCTACCAATGGATCCATTTTAATCTCTGGCAGTCATTAATGAGATTTCAACCCCTTAATTAATAAGTAAATAAAATTAGAAATTTAGGGAAATTGCGTTGCTTTGTGTCTTTGCATGTAAAGAAGCAACCTTCTGTACTTTATTTTACTTCATTTTTGCTTCTGAAGGAACTTTCTAGAAGTGGAGGAGACCACTGAGGAGACATTGTTAATTCCTAGTATAATCCCAATTCTCCATCTTGTTTGGTGGAAGATGTTGGCTTGGAATGAGTGGAAACCAGCCTTGTTCCTAGAGTTTCGGTACAGAGCGCTGTTATTGCTGCATTTTACTGTTCATTTCAACACACTAGAAAACTTTAGAAGAAGATTCAGAATCCTTACCTTCAAATCCCAAATCTCTCCCTTGGATGTAAAATCATCACTCCTGTTTTCAAAAACTATAAAATCACCTTCCAGTGACCAGAGCAAAAGCTGAGAAACAAGCAATCCGTGTTAACCATGAAGAGCAGGGTTAAATTTTTCTTTCCACTGATAAATCCCACCCCGGAACAGATTTCAGCAAGGCAGCTCACAAAGCTCGCGGGTGAACTACACAGGCCATGTGGGTGCCGAGCTCAGAGCCGGAAAGCAAACAGCTGCTGTAGCCTGATTTGAGTTAAAATAGTGTGAGTGTTTAGTCTGGCGCACGGCTTCGGGGGAGATTGGCAGCTGGGTCAAACAAAGTCCTTCCCGTTGGCTCCCTTCCCAGGCTGCTCTGCTAGTATTTAGTGGGTCCTAGTGCTGTGTAGGGCCCTTTTCTCAGGCAAAACCCTAACATCTGACCGCACCCTCTTTGCTATTTCAAAAAAAAAAAAAAGGGAGGAGAAAAAGGGGGAAAATAGCTGTTTCTGCTTCTTTCGTTATAAGATAAATTCTCCTGGAGACAACCTCTCCCACTAATTGTGTGTTAACCATGCATTTTATCTTGAGAGCTGACGCACTGGGCTCTCAACTGGTGTAGAAGGCAGACTGTTACAGTGTGGGATTCATAAAAGGGCCGCTATGGTGTGTGAAAGAATATCTGTGTGCTTAGGCAGGAAACTTTTTGATCTACAGAAAAGCCAGAAGACATCTAGGTAAGGTTCCCGGGTCAGATCTACTTTGGGGGGCAAAGTTTGGCAGTGAAATTGGCCCATACAAAGGATGCAAGTTTAAAGGGTGCATGCTCACGTCTGTGGAAGTTGAAATGGACTGTAGATTGTTTACTTATTTTTGATCCGTGATTTAAAACTAAAATCAGGAGGCTATAGTCTGTCTTTCCACGTTTGGCGTTCTGTTGTTGAAGCGGTCGCAGTAGATATGGTTTGATTACAGAGCGAAGTCTTTGCAAAGTGACAGAGAAAGAAAATGTTTCTTAAGAAGGGAAATTGACAAGTTTTAAAGAGAAATTGTGTGAACCTTGGAAGACGAGCCAGTGTATTCGATTACACTAACATGGGTTTGATTACCAAAAAAGAATTTTAAAAAGTTGAACGTTGCTTTGGAAGGAATATTAAGTAAGTTGTCTTTGTCTCTTACTTTTTAATTTTAGCCGCTGATTTATCCTGTTGGGTCACATTTTTTGAGAGTGCTGAAGGCTGCCATGAATCCTTAATGAGGCCCCTTTGCACATGATTTTGGCCAAGTGCCAAAATCAACTTCCCAGCGGCGAGCTTTCTCTCAGAGAACCTGGAGCGATTTTTTTTTTTTTATTAGAAATCATGTTTGAAAGCCGCCACAACCAGTTGTATAGGCATGTCAAAAATGACTTTGTACAGTAAATATGAAATAAGCCTCAGTTTTTTTTTCTCATATTGTCGCTATGGAGTCTTCGCCTGTTGCCACCTAAGCAGCAATAGAATAAGAAGAATCTGAAATAAGAAAATTTAAGGACTTTTTTTTTTCTTCCTTCAGCACACCAGAGTATGGGTGAGCGTCTCACTGGGCAGAATACACTACGGAGAGATTCTTCAAAGCCCGTTGGGACAAATAACAGATGAATTCATGAACCTGTTCTTCTCTGTAACAGTCAGTTAACAGTAAGTAATAGTTTTCTAGAAGTTTTGTGCATACAATTAGTTCAACATTGATTTCAGTGGGGTCTTTGTGTATGTCAAAAATGCCTTGGTGTTTGGGATCTGTTGTTGTTAATATTTGTTACATATTTTAAAAGATTAGGTGATACCTTGATGCTTTTAACAAACTTTTTCATAGAAATGTTTGGTATGTAAACATGTCTGAATGATGAAATCATTGCATTTAATTGCTTTCCTGTAAGATAAAGGGTGAATTTTCGTGAAAGAGTGTGGGAAGCTCAAAGACACATACACTTTTTTGAGTAGTTTTTAAATCTGACTTTCCTACACCTGATTGTCACAGGAGCTGGTATGTAATTCTATACGATAAGGTTTTACGGGTTACATTCATAAGTTGCAATGAAATAGTCTAGTTACTAGATAGTAACAATTTTAGATTTTGTCAGTGATTTTAAGCAATACTTAAGACATTAAAAGCGCCGAGTACGCAAAGCACTTTAAAGTAAAGCAGAGGGATCTCAGTGTCTCTGCTCTTTTAAAGACATCCCATGTCATCACCATAAAACATGATTTTGCCTCCTGGGTTACAGTAATTTAATGCATAAGTTTGATCTAAGTTACACTTGTATGTTCTGCTTGCTATATCAATGAGAATTAAAAGAATTATCAGTTTGTAGTATTAGAACTATGAATTAGGAACACGAAATTAGAACTACCTTAATTGCTATGCTGACCACACACTTATAACTCTGCCAGTTTCCTCTTGACACAATGTAGCACATTGTTCATTTGGATTGTACAACAAACTGAGGTTAAACTTGATTTTTAAAATCTGATTACCTCTGGACAGTTAGTTTGTATTTTTGCATTGTGATTGATGGCTTTGTATGCACATTGCTGTTAGTTGAACTGAGGGTTAGGGTGTATGAAATGATCATATCAGTCAACAATAAGATTCATGGAAATTATGAGTTCCTACAAATTTATCTGGATTAGTTCCCTAGGCCTGTGAGTTCATAGCTGAAACAATACTTAACGTGACACTTCTTTAATAAGAAATTGTTATTAGATATGTCAATTTTTTTATTAAAACAATCATTAAATTTGCTATCATTAACCAGATGCAGAGAAAAATAGCACTACATTGTTTGGTTGGCTCTAAATACCCCTTTATTTTTTGTTTTCCTGATTTTAACTCTCATTTTGTTTTTATGAACATAATTTTGCTAAGTATCTGAAATTTGTAGACCATTTTCTAAAATTTGCTGAGATATATTTTGACTGACAGTTGCAAAGATTTTTGTTACTGTTAAATAAGGACCATAGCAACACAAATATATTCAGAGATAGAAGTCTTAAGGCACGCAGATAGATATATTAGTGTTTAAGTTCAGAAGGCAGAAAATCACATGCTTGACCATTGGCAAATATTTTTGAGTTGCAGGAGAAATAAGTAAGCATTGGGAGCAATTTGAATTATATATCTCACTGCAGAAGTTAAACATTTCGTTTGCTGTACCAATGAGCTGTTAGCTGAGTATGTCTATTGTGTAGGCTTTCAGACACAATCATCAACTATCATTATTAACAGTTTACAAAGAGTATCTAGAGATACAATCACTTTGAAAAGAAAAATATTTCTGTATAGTTTGCATTTACTGTATTTGAAACTAATGTCTTGAAAAGGTTTAATTATTCGTTCATTCTTTTGGACAGACTTAAGTCCAATCGCACTTCACAGTGTAGAAACTTCAGAGAAATAAAATCAACTTGTAATTGTTCTTGTAAAGGATGGCCTTTTACCCATTTTAATAAGAAAGGCTTTTGTTTGTTTCAATCATACAACAAGCACATAAAATTATTTTCCCCCACTTAAAAGAGACATCAAATAATTAACTGCCAACTTTTATTCTTTATTGGAATGCACACGTGGACACATTTTTATCTACAATTTTTAGTGTGAGAGAAACATTAACAATAGGGCATTTTAGGTGAACATTTCATCATTGCCATGAAGTGCATTGGTCTGAATGGTCTACATTCCAGTAATGAGATAAGCACATTGCTACAGTAGACTGAATGGCATTATCGAGTCTTGGCACCACCTCAGTGACCTCAGTCAGAAAAGATTAGTTACAGGCAAGAGGATTTGGGATTGGAATAGCAAAAGTAGATAAGAAATGCGTGTGAAGACATCAGCCTTCCTTGCATTGGAGAAAGGATATGCTGAAATAAAAGGCCGTACATTTTATGCAAAATTTTATGGCACTATTTTGCCAGTTATCCGTACAATAAATCTTGAAACACTAATAAGCTGGTTGTTGCCTGTGATGGATTTTCAGATTTCAGATGTAACTGTGACACTTTTTCATTCAGTAGATATCTAACGTATTTCCAAATAACCAAAATATAATTACAAATTTGATAGCCAAATCGTTTTTAAATGTTTTCATTGAAATTTAATATTAAGAACACAGAACTATGCCCTCTGATTTTAAGTCTTTTTCGAGTAAAAGAAGAGTTGGTCTGCAGTTGTTACCATTTTCTCTTATGGATTTAATTCTTAAATTATTGTTAACTAAATATTGCTATTTGATATCTTTTTAAAGCATTGTGTTGGGTTCATTTTACAAGCAATACGGCCTATTATATGGTTAAACAAAGATGAATTATGTGCAGCTCTATAATCTTCTCTCAAAAATCCAGATAACAGGTCAGCCAAAGTTCTTTTTTTTTCCCTAGGCTGAATATTTTTCTAAAACAAAAAGTAAGAACTTTTCAAAGATGTAGGTCGCTTTTGTTTGTGTGCTCAAATGTGTTGTCACCCTGCATTGCTGCCCATGCTCTGACACATCTGTCCTGTGAACTGTCTTGTGAGACATCTTGCCTCGCCCTAGGTTTGATTCTGTTCCATACTAGTCTATATTTTGTTTTAAAATTGACTTTCTTTCTGGGGATTAGCCAACACACAATGTAGCATGCAAGAGTCCATCCAATCTAGTTCTTTGGATACTCTCAAGCACCAAGTTGTTTCGCATGCATTATGATCAATGACATGTTTGTGGAGCAAGGCTTCACATGTGATTATTACCCATTTTTAAAGTTATTAGTATTTGGAGATTTTAGAATGCTATCATTTCCTTTAAGTGGAAATGTTTTGCTAACCCATCAATGTTCCACGTTGTTACGACTATTACACAATACCTGTCCTTCAAAATACCTTCAGGCCAACCAGTTGTCTCAAGTTCCTTTTCTTTTTATGACAAGAAGTCAACATCTGTACAGGACAAAAGAGTGCCTGAAATATTTTCAGATGATTTTTCTTAGACTTTTCTACCAATTTCATCCTTGAAGAGATTTTGATAGCAATGATGGTCGTGTTTAAACATCTGTATAAGTTTGAGAAGTGTGAACTTGACTTTGGTTTTCAAATTTTAATAGAAAATATAGGTGAAATTTATGACAGGTATTTGCAACATGCTATTCCTCAGTAAACTACCAACTAGAGAGAGAGAGAGAGAGAGACAAGAAGCTCTAAGGAAGCCATGCTGGAAAATGGGAGATGGTGATCTAGGCTGTCAGGTCCATGCTGTTAGAGTTCTGGGCCTCTGCAGCCAGGTCCCTGTTTAAATTCTGGCCTTGCTTCAGATTCCCTCAACATTAAATCTCAGTTATGTCTACAGAGAAAGCAGAGTCACTGCAGAACACACTCATTCTGTTATATCGGCCTCCTTACTTGGATTTTCCATGGCAAATGTACTGTTCTTCCTGTGTAGTAATTTTCAAAATCATAGGTTGGGGTAGGTTGGCTCAGTACATTGGACATACCAGTATAATGTTCAAGCAAACTCTGCCTTAGCAAAAATAATTAGCTTTTTCACTTTGTCTTTACCTGGGCATCTTCCTAAAGAATGGACAGCTAGCTGTGCACAGAAGGTGGCATTACTGAAAATTATAGAACATGCTTGTTGACTTGTGAATTAATAACCTGTGTTTTGTCCAAAATTGTGTATGTCAATATATACGGTGTCAAATTTCACATTCACTTTGTTCAGCTTCTACTTAACATATGAGTCAATTGCTCTTTGAAGAGATTTTTGTTTGTTTATTTGTTTTGTTTTATAGTACTGGGTATTGAGCCCAGGGCCTCATGAATTAAGGGCATCTCCAATGATAAAATACACTCATTATATATTTCAGTGACATTCTTCATGGAGTATAGTTATCTCAGTGTGGTGTGAATTTTCTGCTGATACAGCAAGTTTGTACATTGTGTGCATATTTCTTGGCATGCCCTTTGGAATTCCAACTTAACCACGCTTCTTTTCATTCCTGGGGTTCATTCATAAATATTCACTCCAGAGAATTCTTTTTAATCAATACACAATTTTCGTTGATATATTCAGGGAACTTGACATTCAGAGAGGTTGGTGCATAGAAAATCTTTACTGATGTGTGATTTGAGTATTTCTAAAACATCTTCACTTGTCAGGAAGTGAATTAGTAATAATATAGAAACAAGGAATGATTGGTAATTTTGACAGATAAGACAGTGATAATCAGTTCATAATGTTTGTAGAAATGATAACATTTTTCTATTGACATAGTTATATGCCAACATGTTTAATTTAGAAACTGTATTTGTTACTAGAAGGCAGGAATCGATTTTAGTAATCAGTAGTTTAATATGACTGATCCAGTCCAAACCTAGGACTGATTAAATGAACAAATAGATCTTCAACAAATTGTAAACTGTCAGGTAACCTTATATCTGGAATTTGTTTTAATTTTCTATATGTAAATCCCTCAATATGAGTATAACGGTTTTTAGAATTTACTATTTAACCATGAAATGTGTTCTTTGCTCTTAGATATGAAAAAGAAAGTGGTAATATTTCTTACAACTTGCCTTTAAAACCTACTCAAAATCAAATTTGAGTAACTAAAGCATGTAAATTTTAGATGACTAACATGGCCCCAGATAAAATGATGCATAGAATGAA